ACGAGACACCCAGTCGCTCTCCTGCCCGCCCCGGTATCCCACGCCCCCAGCCATCGCTCCTAACTGCATGGNGGGCATAGGACAGGGGGCGGTCTGAGCGTTTCCGCTTGCTCCAGCCGATGAACCTTGTAAGGAACTGGCGGTGGGTCCCATTGAGCTTCGTGTAGTGCTCCGCTGTTAGGCTCCACGAGGCGCACCCATATAGGAGAGTCTCCACCACTTCAGCCTGGAGTAGCCGGATCTTGAGCTGGCGGTCGGCCCGTCGCCTGTCGTACATCGAAGCACTGTCCCGGCGGTAGCACTTCCACGCTCAGCAGGTGCGGCTCGTGATCTCCCGGTCGGCCTCCCCGTCCGCGGAGATGGTACGTCCGAGGTACACAAACCGATCTGTCTGCTTGTACGTCTGGCCGGGGGCGCTGACCGTGAACGGGCGTTTCGATCCCTTTCGGCTGTGTACTGCTACCACTCCGACAGAACAAACCACTTACTGAGGATCATCTACACCGCATCTTCGTGTTCGTTTCTGCGCTATTGCTACCTATTCTCAGCCCGCTTTCCTCTCTTGTGGGACGCATACACAAGGCACGCGGGCTGGTCAGCGCGTGCCGGACTGGTTTGGTCGCTGCACGTGCGTAGGCTGTTTACTTGTTCTGTAAGAGGTACTTTTGGGTGAATCTCTACGAAAGTTTGACATCACAGGAACGGATCTTTTACAGCAGTAGTCACCCTCCGGGATCGAACATTCCAATATTTTCTGCTCCGCCTTCTTTGCATCAGGCTTCAGGTCTAGTTAAAACCTTGCATGTATTGTACCGAAGAGTTAAGGTGTTTGGTCTGTCTCCGTACATGGTAGGGCACATGAGTAGGAACCGAATGCCAACTTGTTGTCGCCGTCGGATCACCAGGAATGTTCTTCTTTTGATCACCTTTTATTATCACGGTAGTCACCGTAAAATTGACAGTTGCGTAGCAACCGGATTGTTTGAAAAAGAGTAGCCATTCGTTATGTACACAAAGACAGTACGTCCCGATCTATTGTAGTCTACATTATGCTCACGAGAGTGCAACTCGTGCGCTTGTTATGTAACTTTGAGCTTTGCCCTTTATTAATGGAATACCCAGACATGCAGCAGTTTGCTTTGAGAACACCCCCCCTCCTGGTCATGACAACGCCCTCTCCCAAACAAAAATGTTGAGAATGCCCTCTTGTTTGTACATGTAGCTGCTTCTAATTCTTTGGCGCACCCACCACGCGTGTTGTTTGCCAACATTTCACAACAAAAAAGCGCCCCAAGTTTGGGATCGAGGTAGCATTGAGTTCCTCCAGTAACCCTCTGAAAAATGAAGTATTTGAGAAAGTAGAACAGGGAGGAAGTTACGCAGACCTTATCCCTAAAACCCTATCACAGCATTAACCCAACTTCCCCGATTGCGCGCTTTATCCAACATGTTTGCTTATACGAGAACCCTGCTACAGTAAGACTACTATTACTGCTGTGTAGGCAGATAACCCAACTTCCCCGATGGCATACTTTATTCAACATGTTCGCTCAAACGAAAAACCCTGCGAAGGCTATAACTTCTGCTGTACGCAGAGGGTGATGGGGTCGTGCCAATCTGTGGGGCTCCCGGGAAAGGGCAGTGTCGGGGATGACGGTTCGGAAACGTGCCCGACGGTTTTCGAGCTCGAGCGGACCGTCGAGACGAGGCGCGGGGCGGCCACCAGACTCCACGTCAACCTCGTCAACTTAGAGTTCCGACGCGGCCTCTTCGAGGTCTACCAAAGGGGGTACGCAAAAGAGGAGGGCACCGATGAGGGGGAGGGGGGCGACGAGGGCGGCGACGGCGAGGAGGACGGGAAGGGCGGGGGCGGAGAGGACAGTGGCCGCGGTAACGGACATGAACTTAACTCCATAGCAATCGCTGGGAATCCCTCCGCTGCTGCCGCTGCTGCTGTTTCTGCTTCCGCTGCTGCCGCTAGGAAAAAGAAGGAAGAAGGGAGCCAGAGCTTCGTTGCGACGCACAAGGTGATTCGAACACAATTCAATTCGATTCGATTCGATTCGATTCGAACCAGCGTTACGTTT